GCGCCTGACAGCTCCTCCGCCCCCCGCGTCAGCTGACTGGAGGCCTGAGCCGCGGGGGAGGAGGCTTAGCAGAGGGCTGGAGCCAAGTAGGACCGTGGGCCAGGGCCCAGCCCCCCACACCCTCAAAGTCCCGGCCCCCGCCCTCTCGCTTTTGGTGCGCATTCCCCCTCTAGGCCAAGCAGCCGCTTCCTCCACTTCGCCCAGTCCCCGTCCCCAGTTCCTCCCTTTTTCCCCTTTGGTTTCCCCACCCCCTGTCCGTGTCACCCCCAAGGAGGCTCAGAACAAGCGCCGGGACAACACCTCTCGGGTCCTTTGTTCCCAAGCGCCCCCGCCCAGTGGGGGACGCTCCGTGTGCTGCGCGGCTGTGGTCCGTGTGTGTGCCGTGTGTTTCTGCAGGGCTGCACACATTTGTGTGTTGAGGGGTGAGTTGGGTTTCCAAGAGTTGAGCTCAAATCCAACTCTTAGTCTCAAGGGACCCTCCTCGAGCCAACCAAGGGCCGCTCTCCCCTCCTACGGGGTGCGCTGGCCTAACCCTGAGATAGGACTCCACTGGCCCCACCGTTCACTGCGCCCAACCCTCCCACAAATGACACAAGATGAAGGGAGCGGGGAAAGAATCGGACAAACAGCGCTGAAAATCTTTCCCCAGCCAGATGCACGGAACCCTGAGCTTCCCGAGGCATGGGGCTCAGACCAGACCAGGACGATGCTCCGGGTGGCTCTTGGCTGCTGGGGAACCAGTCTGTTTTTGTTTGAACGTTTTGTAACGATTAAGCAGATCCCGGCGTCAGCCTGCGACCGAGAGGCTCAAACAGGCATAAAGTGCGACCCCAAGTGGCCACTGTGCGCAAAGGCGCACCGAACCGCCTGGCCCGCAGCCGGAAAGCTTGGACGACGTCTGGGACCCAGCTGAGTCCTCCTAAGCTGCCCGACCCAAACCAGCCCAGAAAGTAGGCTGAGCGTGCACCGGAGCCCAGGACGGTTTCCCCTAGAGTTACGCAAAGGTCGTCGAATCCGGACTTTGGACTCAGCCGCGAGTTCCCCGCCGATCATCCCCCGTGAAACTCTGCTCCCAGCTCTAGGGATGGGTGGGCGTAGGGGCGGGTGCCGATGGGTCGTTCCTAATGCGGGAAGGTCCTAGGCCGAGTTAAGCCTGTGTCGGAAAGCTTAAAGCTGCAGCGAGGGGGTCCAGGGTTGTCCGAAGACAACTCCCGGAGCACAGATGGGAAGCCGGGAGCGTACCGCACTACGCATACACACAGGTCTCGGGCACCGTGCACCCTCCCTATCCGGGTCCAGGATGGCCTGAAATCAGAGGTTCCTCCCGAGACCCCAGCCCGGGCTCAGAAACCGGATAAATCTTAAATTCGCTGTACCGGGAGACCCGACCCGCCTCCCGCGTCGCCTTCTGCGCTTCAGCGTTGAGTGCGCACAGCGAAAGGCAGGAGCAGCGCGCACTGGGTGAGTGTGTCCGAGCTACTGCCTGTGCAGGACCAGCACGACGCCGCACTTAAGTGTCGTCAGGTGGGCTTTACCAATGTGGACGCAACCAGATTTTTTTTTTTAGCCTCAGAAGATAAAATATTTACCTTCAATTAATCTGAAAACTATTATCTTGCGCCCTCAGTGAGGCGGAGGTGGGATATGGTCTTAGACCGCCTGTTTTAAATAAAATGAATATCTTTTAACTAAGACTTGAACTGAAAGGTTGGGTTCGGCAAGGGCAACTGTAAAAGCTGTAAGAGACCGTCTTCAACCCTCTGCGAGAGCGCGCTCTCCGCTCTCCGAAGAAACGGTTAGGCTGGGTCTGGGCCAAGCCGCTGCCCCGCCCCTGCCCGAAGGTGGGCGCTCGGGACAAGCACCTTCCCAGTCCCCGTCGCGTTTGCACGCAGTGATAGCACACTCGGACCCGCGGCTTCGTGGGGGGACGTTTCGAGGCCATCCTGGATTGGCCGTCTTGGTCTGTGCAGAGGATGGCCCCGTCTCCAGGAGCCCGGGCCGGATAAACGCACTGGGCTCTCTCTGTGCCACTGAACTCCAGCCTGGAGCGCCCTTCCCGGCTGCGAGAGACCCGCGGCTAGGAGAGCGCGCCTGAGCCCGTGGACTTGTGTGTACGCGCCGCGGAGGCAGAGCCAGTCTGTGTTCGCGTGTTCGCGCCGTGTCCCTGGGTCGCCCTGATCCTCCCTGTCGAGGAATGAAGCCCGCGTCTCAGAGTGCGGCCATCCTCTGTCCCAGCTCCGCAGTTGCGAACGTTCCGCTTTCCGAGGGCGTCCTGCGCCGTCTCAGGGCTGGTCTAGAACTCGGGCTTTGTCTGGGCAGGCGCCTTCTCTTTGTCCCTGTGCCTGTCTCCGTTGCAGTCAGTCCTATACCCTGGGCTCTGACTGAGGTATCTCAGTCCATCCCTAGGTCCCCCTCCCCTCCCCAAATCTGTTTCCTGGTCGCTCTCCCAGACCCTCCTCTCCCACCCCACCCCCAAACACCTCCACCAAAAACTGTTGGAAATGGGTGACAAAGACAGCAGTTTGCTCCGGAGTGAAGGTTGCTGCAGGGCCCTGGATCGCACTCTTGCCTCCCTCACCGCGGCTCCTGCTGCGCTCTGCCGCTGGGTCCCGTGGCGCACCCCAAACCTTAAGGCCACTGCTCCGGACACCACGGTCAGCCACTTCCCCGTGCCTAGGGTCTAAGGGGATCAGAGTGCTTGGCTCCCCATCAAGGGTATACAGCTGTACCCAGAGACTACACCCCATCCCTAAAAGACAAGCGGGGTGGGGTGGGGTGCGGGGAAAGAGGGAAGAAAAGAGAAGGGATGGTGGGAGAAGTGGAGAGTTTGGAGGAGACGCCCAGTGCAGGCTGGAGACACAAGAGGGGCTCACGCACTCCCAAACCCCCTTTGAAGGGAAACCGAGGAGGATCCGTAGTAGCCAGAGCCCTCTAGGGAACATTTTGTTATCTCTAGTCCCCAAAACTCCAATTTGAAGTTTTGACCCTAAAGGGAGCCCCTCTCCAGGTTGGGCCAGCGGCGAGGCGTCCTGGGCGCACCCCCTTGGCATTCTTGAGCTACTGCTGGTGACGAGGAGGCTCTGCGGGGTCAGAGTCCCCACGGGGCTCCAGACACTAGGGTGGGAGTAGACAGAGAAGTTATTCCTACACGGGGCAAAGGACCCGCCCGACAGCTGGTTCCAGGTTTGCGCCCCTCCGCCTGCCCTTGCAAAGCCAACTAGCTAACTAACCCGAGAGGCCCCCCTCCCCTGGGCCCCCCCCCCCACTTGTGCTTGCACTTCCCCCACCACCACCACTTGTGCTTGCACTCCCAGGCAACTCCAGGCCAGCACTGCGCTCCCGAAGGTGGTTCAGCCCTGAGGTGCCCCGTATACCGTCCTTTCCTGAGGGCGGCAGGTGTTTGGTGTGGGAGTGGGCGTCTGCGTGCGTGGGTGTGGTGGGAGAGATGTGGAAGGGGTGTGTGTGAGGGGAGGACACAGGGCACAGAGAAAGCTTTGAATCACAGAACCCACAACTCCGGGGCCTCAGCACCTGATGGGTTGCAAGGTTGGACTATCCGGCTGGCCAAGGGTTCCAGGGTGTTCAGCCAGAGAAGAGCCTGAGTCAGGGGTCCCCGGGGAACCCACCTACTGCCTTAGCACCACCCAGATGTGGGATCCCCTGTCATCTCCACAGAGCCTGGAGGTCTCTGCCTCTTTTCCTCAGGCCCAGTGGGGGTGGGGTGATTCTGTTGCTCCCACTACATCTGAGCGTCCCAAGGTCTGTGGTCTGCAAGAAGTGGCAGGATATTTTTCTCTCTTCCTCTTCCTCTTTCCCAAAGGCAGCTGTCACTTCTACTGCTCCCTGCCCCACACAATGGCCATTAGAGTCAGCCCAGCGCTTCAAAAAGGTATTCTTGGGCTCCTGCGTGCAGTAGGGAGCCAGAGTTACCTGACTGCAGAACCCTTTTCGGGCTCGCTCCCCGGGGATCAGGGGCCTCCTGCTCACACGTACATACACACAGATATCCTTGGAGTGGGAATCTATTACTGCAACCATTTCACCTGCCTCTTTTTACTTTGTTCTAATGTGAAGACTAGACATTTTTAAATTACATACATTGGCTTACATTCTATTCCTATTGGTAGTGCTGTGTTAGACAGCCACTGGGCAGTGCTGCCTCCAATACAGAGGGGACATTTTATAATAATATTCATTCCCATAGGTACAGGGACTAGCAAAGTGTTTATCATTCATTTTTTCCCTGAATTCTCACGACTCTAATAGGTAGCAACTATTATTATCCTTACTTTATGAAGACAGGTAGGCAGGCAGGTAGGCAAATACAGATGTATAACCATGTCCTGAGAGTTTTATCAATTAATCCAGTTTTTATGTTTGCCCTCTGAGCGAGTAGGACTGTCCCCATCTTACATTCAATTAATCCAGTTTTTATGTTTGCCCTCTGAGCGAGGACTGTCCCCATCTTACAAGGAGAAGGAGGTTCTGAGACGTTAAGTAATCTTTTTAGTTACACGGTGGCCATGAGCTGGAGCTTCTGGCCCCAAGTCCAGTGCTCTGAATACTACGAGGCTTGTGATCTCTATCTGGACAGGGTGGCATTCTGAGCACCCAGGTGTCGGCACAGATCCCCAGCTGCTCTCTGGGTCAGGGTTTCCAACTCTCCACAGACATGGCTGTTCTGTTCAGGTCACAGCTGAGCCTCTGCCAAGTGCCAAGTGTCTGCCGAGAGCTCAAGGATAAGGGCAGTGAATAGTGTGCCTTCTTGTCCATGGCAGTCAAACATCCTGGGCTTCCCCTCATTCTCTTTCCTCTTCCCTGACCCTGGGGCTGGAGGATGAGAGAGAAACCAAGGCAGGAGGCAAGGCGAAGGAGAGAGAATTTGCAGTCCTCTCATTCTATCTGTTACCCGTGACCTCAGCTTGACCTCTAATCTCAGCCTTGATCCTTGGTCCTGCCTCTGGCCTGAGTTTGACCTTCAGCCCCCATTTACTCATCTCTTAAATATCGGGAGGGGGGGTGCAGCATGAGATGGCTCAATGCTGATGAGAAGGTCACTGCCATTCAAAGCCAGTGAGGGATGACCAGCAGGACTAGCAGGGCTCCCTTCCCACCATTACCTCCCCAGGACCCCAGGGCCAGTGTTCGAGACTCTGAAACCCCATCACTGCTCCCCAGGACTGAGGCCCTCACCTCCCATCACCGGTCAATCCCTCAACCTCAAGATCTCAGTCTCTCCATCCACTGCCTTCACCCTCACCCAAGCCACCCCCATGCTTGCTTAGATAACTACAGGGGCCTTGGCTGGGCCTCTTCTCATCTCCATAGGGCAATGGAGCCAGTGTTCATGTCATATGAACTTGATCATTCTACCTTTACTCCCGCTCCCCCACCCACCCCCGCTCCCCGGCTTAACTACAAATTCCTTGGATACTTGGACAAAGAGCCGAACTCCTTAGCAGGGCTTTCAGGTCCTGAATAATCTGCTCCTGCCAACCTACCCACCTCATCTTTCACTGCATCCCCCTCCCACTGCTCCACACACACTGCCCTCTGTAAGTTCTTCCACAGCCCACGCTGTGTTCTTCCCCAAGGCTTTGCATATACCATCCCCTCTGCCTAGAACCAGTCAGTCTCTTGGTCTCAAGGACTTAGAGGAGGTGATCTGTGGCTCTTCCCAGGCCTCAGAGGGACTGGGATGCACCAGGAAATGGAGGTGGAGAGAAGAGCGCCAGGTCCTGGGAAGTCACACACCCTGGAATCACATGGCAGGGTTTGCATGGATATCTGTCTCCTCTCCAAGTTGGATCCAGGTAGACCTCACATTTCAGAGAGGCCATATGAGATGACACAGGGAAGGTCAAGGAAATGCTTTGGTCAGCTGGTCCAAATGTTTTCCACTTGAGAAAATGTATTAAAACACAAATTCCTGAGCCACAGTCTGACGTGTTAGAGCCCAGGAATTTGCATTTTAATAAGTTCCCTAGGTAATTCTGACGTTTGAGGTCCAAGAAACACACTTTGAGAAACTAAATGGAACACGACCAGGAGATCCTAGAGGAAGACAGTGTGATGAAATTGTCTCTGTGTCCCCAGTGCCAAGCAATGCCCACACCAGGAGGAACTCAATTACAGTGGTGGAAGAATAAATGAGTGAATGAAGTTAACAACTAGGAAACAGTGATGCTTGCTTGCAGCATGATATCTTAGAACCCTCAGGCCTTTCCTGCATGCCCTCCAGCTCTCTCCTCCCCCTTAGTTAGCAATCATTCCCAAACCTCTCCATCCTCCTCAGACCAAAGATCAGCTCAGAGTAAATCAGGACTGGGTGATCCCGTCCCACTGGCCTCCTGTCTTTCCTTCTCCTCTATCTGGATGCTCTTCAGGGCCCTAGGGCTCCAGCTTCCTGCCACATGCTCCTCACAGCTTGGGGAGTAAGCTTCTGAGTACAGGGGAAGTGGGTAGCACCGTCCCACTGCTGGGACCGGCTGCCTGGGGCTGATGGAGGGGATAATGCAGTTTGGCTGTGCCCTGAGCCCAGGTTCATTTCAGCCAGGAGCTGCTGTGGTCACTCAATCTCTTTCTTCCCTTTCTTCTTTTAAAAATGAATTATACAAGCCTACTTTATCATTGTAAAAAAATGCAACAATGTAGTTTTAACATCTATGTCTAGAGCTACAGCTTGCTTTTTATTTTTACTCAGCAACTTCTGTGTCAATACATCCAACTCTGCTTCTTTCTTTTTAACTAATGCATGGCAATTCATCCAGTGGATGCGCTGTAGTTTTTTACTCTGTCTTGTATTTATGGACATTTAAGCCATTCCCAATCTTTCACTATTGCAAACAATGCTGCAACGAATAGCTTTTTACATGCTCTTTTTTGCATGTGTGCAAGTATTTCTCTGGAATAGACAGAAAGAAATGGAATCCCTGGATTGAA